ACACACACACACACCACCACCACCACCTCACAATATACGGCGTGTCGGCCGGCACTCCTCAGCTAGGTATTTTGACCAATGGTGATGCTCTAAACCTGCCACACCCCCAGTCTGTCGCACGCGACGAGATCCTCAATCACTAAGTGGACCGATTGCAGGCGACGGTCGCGTGAGACTAGATCAAGATGTCGTCTCACGTGTAAGGAGACGGTTTCCTTATAATCTTAATTGATTGATTTTAGAGTGGCAAGGACCCTGTGGCAGTGGGTGGACCCAAATTTGGGTGAGGCTTAGGTTGCTTCCACTTCTTTACCACCAAATAGCAAGCAATAAGAACAAAACAGTGATACTTTTTCTGTACTCACGGCGAGCCACGGCTTTATGAGCTAGAAGCATTCAAACGAGGCGAGTCACCTTTGTCTTCCATCTATTTGTTTAAATTCTTCTGGATGGTGGGGACGAAGTCGTTTCACCTCCAAATTTCTCTAATTAATTTTCATCTAATGAAAAAGTTGTCTCAAAAGTGGTTTGCTGTAATTAATAACTGATAAACCTCAGCGGCACACACACAAACGTGCACACAAAGCACTCCAAACAAATACCGTCTGTGAGCTGGATTAGGCCGTATAGTCGCCGAAAGTAAGCGCACATGACAAAGGTCCAATGAACGCATAGGTAACTGTGTCACTGGGGGAAAGTGTGTCGTGAACTTTCACCCCATTGTTAGGGCAAAGAGAGCGTGAGCCCTCTGTGCAGTGTTATTTTTTTCAAATCTTCTACCATTTTACAAGAGAGGTTTCATTATGGAGGGACCCCGTGGGAACGGGCTCGTCTTTTTCTGAGCCCAAGAGACATTTGATTGGCTGTTAGGTTACTATAGTTGTAAGCGGTGACAACAGTGATTGGATAACGAGCAAGCCGCCAAGTTGATTACTCTGTGATCACTGCGCGCGATCATAACAGTTCCAACTGCTTATTTCGTTATTTTCATTTGCTTTGGGATAGAGTT